TATATATATATATATATATATATATATATATATATATATATATATATATATATATATATATATATATATACACACACACACACATACACATATGTATATGCATATACATACATATATATATATATATATATATATATATATATATATATATATATATATATATATATATATATATATATTTGTATGTATAGTAATGCATGTATTATGCATGTTGTTACGTATAAACAACGACGATTACAAAGTTTACTCATAAGAAACGAAAAGCTTATTGTGAGGAGTCTTGCACGAGCGGCCTGAGGTGCTGAACATACTCTTATGTCAGGCCGTAGGACATTTAAGCAGTAAGCGTCTGTAGTCATCGGTTAATCAAAATAGGCGCGTGATTTAGGAAAGTCATATGTATATATATATGTATGTATATATATATATATATATATATATATATATATATATATATATATATATATATATATATATATATATATTTATATTCATTTTATGTATGTATTTATGTATATGAAGATATAAACACACCCCAGCTCGTCAGAGCCCGAGGAGACAAGGAGAGATGATGGTGACACCACGTGAAGGCTCGACCAGATGTCAGCACCTTCATTTGTCTCATGTCTGATCCCTATATAGTCACACACATGGGCATCAAGAGCTCGAAAGGAGCAATTTTACAGATATTTTATTCGCGATCTCACGCCACCACAACTAGAGAGTACACATCAATATGACGCAACATTGTTTTACTTTTGTTTGTGACTATTGTACATTGACCTCCATCACTGGATCAGTCACGAGCCACGGGCACCGAGGCGCGCCGTCACCCAGGGGGCACCGACGACCCGCTTGCAGGGAGGTACTCTCCTAACGGGTAGCTGCGGTCGCCGTAAAGCAACGTCCTTCTTTGACTGGCAGTCGTAAGCACCACAGAAAACTCCTTAACGACCAACTGCAGCTCCCAAACGCGACGTCCTCAGTCCAGTTTCTGAGTGTCGGAAAAAAACACTTCTGTCTAGTTACAGCTACCTCGCATCTGCAGTGACACCCACGGAACACAGTACCTCGCAGGAAGGCTAACCCCTGACTGGCAGTTGCCGTAGTATGGTGCATTTGAAGACATCCCTGACAAGTTGACACGAAACACTCGCAAACACTGAATGCAGCCACAGTTATTAAATATGGTTTATTGTTCTTCAACAAGGACAATGATTGTGCTTCGTTCTTTGGTGCTGGCTTGAGGCTCGGGCTTCGAGATGTATTATGAACATAAACTTACGTCTAAATCCACACAGCTGCTGTACATGCAGTGCAGGTAACCCTCAAATCAACTGCTGGATGCCCGCACATCACCAGTCTGTGCTTCCCTCGTATATCATATACATGAACAAATCTACATAATCCGTTCATGGCGTCACGAGTAATGTATAAGGAATACTTCACATGCACAGTACACCAATGTCATCACTAACACATGCTATATATATTGTATATATAAAGAGAAACGTATTTTATACAATCAATGCGTTGTAAAGTAAAATTTTAAGATATCCACATCATAACCAAATAAACCCATCACACAGTTTATCGGTTAGCATGTTAAACAGCATAACAAACCCCGGCACAATACACTGTGAGTGACACCATGAACACTGACACACCTTCCCACACAATATTGGGGTACGACATTGAACCCCAAAGACCGAGCCGACCAGACCAGCACGTGCATACATCAACAACATCACACTCAGACACGCCTCTAGTTTCTATAATGTTCTCTGATCGAGATAAAATCTATAAATTCAAATTATCACATTCACTGTATTTTTTTTTTACCATCGCCCTATGTACAGACTAATCGCTAATTTGATCATAATAATTAATAACATCTGAATATCAAGACCAAAAAATCAGAAAGAATCAAAACACGATTTGAGACACGGGGATGGTTGGCAACACATGACACATTTAGTGAATTATTTCCCTGGATTACACGTATCAGGTAAAAGTGATGCGCAAAGCAAGTGATTAGCTCAAAATATATATGCACACATCTGTTTTGCAAGTGAGTAGTCGCGTTCGGGCTCAGGGAGGAATCGCATATGAGGTCAGGAGTCAGGGGAGTTTGCAATCCCACCTCTTCTCAAACTGTGACCTTTTCGCTATTCCAAAAAAAAGAAAAAAGAAAAAAATCATCTGAGTGTCTTTTTCTTTATTATTATATACGTATATATAAATCCTCATATTTTACCTCATTACCCAAAACGCAGTGAAGACCCGCAAGTAACGTGCAACGAAAGGATATACCGTGGCCTTCGAACACACGCGCGACGCACTTAGAAGGCCGAGCGAGGGTCTTTCCGCAGTCATCTCCCTGACACCTTCCCGCGACCACATCCCTGCTACAAGAAGATACAGAATTTCATTTTAGCACCATTGAGAAGCTTGACGACATACAATAATCCAGTAGGTCCACGCGAGACTTCAGTGCGTAAAAGGTCTTTGGCCCCTCACTTTGCCTTGGCCGGTTCAAAGGTCATTTCACTGAAGTCGCCATGGATTGAATGGTTAGTGGTACACAATAAGCCCGAAGGAACATCCATCGAGCGAGAAATATATGACTTTTTTTTTACAGTTTCAAATCCTCTCGTCTATACTGTACAGAGGCATCGTCACTAACTTTAACATCTAATCATGACGATTAGATTTATTTTCATTTATCAAAGAAGCACTGTCAGAATCTAGTAAACTAAAAAACAAAAACAAAAAACAAACAAAAAACAAAATCATAAGTAAAACCCAGTTTTGAACACCTCTCCTCGTTTCCCAGCTCAGAGTATAAACTTCCATGAGCTAGGAGTGAAGCAACGAGGGTTGGCGCAGTCCACCTTCGTAACTTTCAAGACAAATACACAGCCCTTTGCCAATGTTCTTCTTATTGCACTAAGTTTCATCCTTCACGTCAACACGACAACATGTCCGTGTATTTAAAAAGGTCTTCCTCTTCTTCAGACAGTGTGTGTTCAGTAATAACTTGAAAAAGCTCACATTTTCAGGAAACGGAAATGATAGATAGGCCTTTGGAATTTAATATTTGTAGCATGCTGGGGATTCTTACGCGATTTATACATAACAAATACACTTAAAAGAATAAAAAAACAAAAAAAAACAAAAACAAATTCAAGCATTCTTAAAAGTCGATGTCAAGCAGTCATCAATAAGAGATGGGTAATAATATATATATTTTTTTTCTTTTAAATTCCTATATCACGTGACCGGACTTAACACTTGGTTGAGTGAGAATAACATCTTAACAGATCGTTCGCAATTAGTTTATTTCTTTCGCATGGGTCACAAAAGCGCCCTGTGTGTTGACTCACGCTTGCTACTGATAGCTCCGGCTAGTTCCCGAGGATGGACTGTTAACACCGGGGATGGAGAGCGAGGTGGAGGAGGAGAAGGAGAAGGAGAAGGAGAAGGAGAAGGAGAAGGAGAAGGAGAAGGAGAAGGAGAAGGAGAAGGAGAAGGAGAAGGAGAAGGAGAAAGAGAAAGAAACAGAAAGGAAAAGAGAAAAAGAAGGAGAAAGAGAAAGAGAAAGAGAAAGAGAAAGAGAAAGAGAAAGAGAAAGAGAAAGAGAAAGAGAAAGAGAAAGAGAAAGAGAAAGAGAAGGAGAAGGAGAGGGAAGAGAAGAAGATGAAGATGAAGAGGATGGAGAAGATGAAGATAGAGAAGATGATGACGAAGAAGAAGCAGAAGAAGAAGAAGATGATGATGAAGATGGAGATTGAGACAAAGAAGAATAAGAATAAGATGAAAAACAAGAAAAAAGGTGGAGAAAGAGGAGGGGGTGGAGGAGAAAGAGGACGAGGGAGAGACGAAGAAAGATGGTAACAAAGACAGAAAGAGAATATGAAAATGACGATTACAGTTAAATAGAATGGAGCAGAGTGAAATAGAGCAGAGTAGGAAAACAAAATCATTAAGTGAGTCAGACGAAGATATAAAAACAAACAAACAAACAGAAAACGCATTGGCGAAAAGAACAAGGGGAAGAGACATGAACGAAAAGAAAAAAAACAAACAAACAAAGAGATGAGACAGTACAGGTATCAAATTGTACATTTATACAAGAACACCAAAATCTCCAGATCAGTGTAAAGAAAAGGGAACATAGCCTGTTTAGGTAGACTCGGAGGACTACGTGTAATAACTGCTACAGTGCTGACGATGGGAGCCACAAAGCCCTACGGTAGACGGTCTACATGATACGATATAGAGAAAGTCCGTAATACAATACTCTATATGAGGATATTCTCTAAAAGTAATGATCAGCTGTAGAGAAAGAAATATAGGGATACACAATACCCAAGTTAGAATAAAACAAAACGTTTTATGAAATGAAGAAAGAAAAGAAAAAAATCTAGTTCGTAGTGCTAGGAATAGTGAGGATGAGATTTCCGCGAGTTTTTTTTTTGTTTTTTCTTTTTTTTTTTTTGAGACCCACGGAGAAGCGTATACGAGGTCTGAGGAGAGGTTTGGATACCCAGAGGATCGAAAATTAAGGGGGTCGGAATGGGGCACAAGACGGGAGGCAGAAATACCAGTTGGTTCGCGGTTATGAGGATTAATTGGCTCAGTGGCAGTTTAATGAATTCAAAGATGGTAGCTTCATAAATGCATGCGGAAGAGCTGGATGCTTATTGTTTAGTTCTTTAAAGGAAAAAAAAAAATCACTTGTTTAGATCTGAAGAATGAACCAGTCTTTAGGGAAAAGTAGAGAGGATGTTCTCAACTCTCAGTTTGATAAGAGTATAAGCTTAAAGTTCTTTAAACGCTTTACCACAATATAAATATGAAACACCAAGACTTTCCATAAAACTTGCAGTAAATATGGAAATCCAGCAATTCCCTTTCCTCTCAGCTGATTGGTAAGGAAGGATCCTATGTATTGCCGGCAGAGATAATCCTAGAGCCACGAGGGGAAAGGATAAAACTTTTTATTTTTTATTTTTTTTTTACTTTAAATCAAGTTGAAAGAAGATTGTAACTGACTCTAATTATTAATTGAGGGAATAATTACTCCTGCCCATGATTGGCTTAGACTGTGGGCGAGTTTTTGTCATAAAAAGATGAAATAAGTTGAGTATAATGACTTGACTGTCATACGGACTCTGAGCAAAGGTATGAAGAAGGCTAAAAGACATTTATAGTGATGGTGATAGGATGGAAGGGCGTGAGTGTGCCACG